CGTCGCGGGTGGCGTGGTGGTCCGGCCCGGGGGGGGGGGGGGTGCCGCCACCTCTTCCCCAGGCTCCCGAGCACCCCGGCCGGGCACCCGCTGCTGTCTGGGCAGAGGGAGGCGCTGCTGGGCTTTCTGTGGCCGTTTCTTCTCCACTTGGGTGGGCGCCGGAGGCCCGAATTTTAAGGCTGGTTCTCACTCCTCACAGATAACTCCGTTTGGAGCTGAAGTGAGGAGATTGACTTCTTATTTCATGAGGTTTTCTTAGGAGCATCAAATGACTTGAGATAAAACGCTTCAACAAGTGTGAAATACCAGTTAATTCAAAGTAATCTTTTTATCACTCATTGTAAGAGGTTCCTCCTCCTTTCACTCAGCCGGGGTTGCTCAGGGCTGGCAGAAGAGTTGAAGAACGCTTTTAGCAAAGTCAGAGGAAGCCCACCGGTGAGGCTCCAGGGGTGGAGCCGAGCCGTGTGCCGTCCTGCACCACGGCTCTCCGTGCGGGAGGCATCGGGAGGCATCGGTGCTGCTGGCTCCTTCTTTAGTGTTTCCTGGCAGCCTTCACGGGGGCATTTGCCATCGAGCTGGAGTCTTGAGTCACTGTTGGAAGGAACTATGTAGTAAGATGTCTTAGAAGAATTTAAAAATGGCTAATGCACAACTCTACGAATGTACGTTTTTTCTTCGGAGGATGTAAGCCAGGTTTTGAACTGGCAGATTGGTTTTTACAAAGTTGAATTTAAGTATTAATGTTTTCGCTCATTTCTTATGCTTGTGTGTCCACGTGTGTGTTGTATATATTCTCTTCTATTACTAACAAGCTTTGGAATTTTGCATGATCGCATTAATCCCTAGAGGCATTCGGAAGGTGTTTTCCTTGCGTGGGAAGCCACCCGGGGATCTGAGGGTGGCCTGCAGGGTGTCCTTCTCTTGGAGCAGGTGCCTAATGAGGTGGTTGCACACGTGTGGGCGCCACTTGTTCACCTGTACTCGGGCTCCTCTGAGCTGTAGTGGGTGGTTGGCTCCTCCCGTGACTGTAGACCTGTAGTTAGTGGTCGGGTCCCGGCTCTTGTTCTCATAGCTGGGCTCAGTCAGTATTTGAGTTCTGTGGTAACTGCAGTTGGCAGTTGGGTCCTCTTGTCACTCATGTGGGTAACTGGCCGGAACTTTGTGAGCCGCACCCTGCATCTAGAGCCGTACCCGGCATGGAGCCGTCTCTCAGTAAATACTGCGATGACTCCAGTTAGTTTAGAGATGACCTGAAAACCAGCAAAGGGGTGCCACCTCCTTTATGTGCTTCCTTTTCTGCAGGAGGACAAAGTGGGGCTGAGACTACATTGCAGTTGATCTTCTCTGATCCTGTAAACCCTGCCCCTCCTTAACCCAATTTCTTTTTATCAAGGTGACAGACATTTTGGTTGTCTCTCTGTTTGGAGTCAAAAATGCCTTAGGCTATGTTCACAAAAAAGTTAAGTGTCTTTCCAAGACAAAAGAAACTTAATACAGTAGTGAAGAAAACAAAGACTTCCTTTGTTTTGATTATTCCTAGGGTGCTCTCCACAGAGCAGAGTTTAGGGATTGGGCATCAAATGATCTCTCGGCAGCCGCTCCAAACTGGGTGCTCTTAGTAGCCAAAACAGCAAGTTTTCCAGCTGAATCTTTTTTTTTTTTTTTGCTGTACGCGGGCCTCTCACTGTTGCGGCCTCTCCCGTTGCAGAGCACAGGCTCCGGACGCGCAGGCTCAGCGGCCATGGCTCACGGGCCCAGCCGCTCCGCGGCCTGTGGGATCTTCCCGGACCGGGGCACGAACCCGTGTCCCCTGCACCGGCAGGCGGACTCTCAACTACTGCGCCAGCAGGGAAGCCCCGAGCTGAATCTTTTTATTATTAAATTTTTGAATTTCATCCATTTATTTTCCCGTTAATCAGCGAAGCTTCATGACCAGCTAGAAAGGAGATCACCCTGTTGAAAAGCAATTTTTGTGGTTCCCGTGTTCCTGACCGTTACTCCCTGTTGATTCAGCACAAGGAAGAAGTGAAGTGGTCCAGTGAGAGCTGGGCGGGCTGGCAGGGAGGGGTCTCCATCTGCCACCCGGTTTCCTCCTTGCTGGTAAGTGGTCTCAGATGCCCACATCCCGCACTGAGAGCTCGCCGTGGCGCAGGGGCGGACAGCGAGGGTGCCAGAGGGCTGCCCCGCCCTCTGTGGCCAGCGGTCCAGTGGAGGTGATGCCCACTCGGCTGGGCCGGGCTGGGCATGCGGTGGGACCCCAGGGAGTGGATTATGTCTGCCCTTAGGGAGTTTTATTCTGATGGAGGGAGGCAGATGGAGAGGCAAGGGAAGTTCCGTAGGCCTCAGACTCAAGTAGCAGTGGAAGAAAGTCTTCAGATGAGTTGTAACCAGCATTTAGGCAACAAATGTGTAAGCATCTGTCATGCGCCTGGACATTCTGGCTTCTTGGCAGGCGTGAATGAGGAGAGCAAAGATCCCCGTGTTTGTGGGGGAAGCGGTGTAAACGCCATCAGTATCTAAGTTCTCTAAAGTGTTAGAGCGCCGGGACGGGGGTGGCGGTGGGAGGACTCTGGGGTGAAGTGGGCTGGTTGAGGGGAGGGTTACTGAGCTCACGCTGGAGCCCAGACTTGAGGGAAGGAGGCAACCAGGCAGGCATGAGCAAGGAGGAACGAGCTGGCGTTCCGTCTCGGCCTCAGGACCTGGGAGGCCGTGTGTGAAATCAGGGTGGACAGTTGGAGTGCGGGGCATCCAGGATGCTTGTGCGAACCCTCACCTCCAACTTGTTGCCCGACTCCATCTGGTGGGGGTGGATCACGTCAGATAGGTTAAAGCTGAATAAATGAAAAGCGATCACCGCGCACGACAGGCAGGCCTGAGGCGGCTCTTGCCCGTCACGCTTCCTGTTGGCGCTGCGCCCTGACCGCTGGCCACGAGGAAGGCCCGTGCCTCACAGAGCCTCCCCTCGGGTGTGTTCTTGCAGGTCACCTCTTCTATAAATTTGGAATCACAGAATCCGACTGGTATCGAATCAAACAGAGCATCGACTCCAAATGTCGGACGGCCTGGCGGCGAAAACAGCGAGGCCAGAGCCTGGCCGTCAAGAGTTTCTCCAGGAGAACCCCGTCCTCGTCCTCGTACGGCGCCTCAGGTACGACGCGGGGTGGCCCAGGCAGGTGGCCCCGGGGGCGGTCAGAGTGAGAACGGTGGTTCTGTGCCCGCATGTGCCCTGTGAGAGGCGGGGAGCCTCGGCCGGACCCCGAGAGGCTCCCGGGGCAGCTGTCTAGGTGGAGGGCATCCTGGGCTCAGCAGCAGCAGGAGCTGGGCCAGGACCGCCTTGGACGCCTCACTGAGCGCTGCTCCCTCTGCCTGGTGGGCCAGCACGTCGCTGGCTCACTGTTACTGTCACCATCTGCGTGGCGTCTGCAGGCGAAGGCTGGGGTGCAGGCTAAGTTGCGCTTGTTACTGCCGTGGTGAGGACGCAGCCTCGGTTATACTCACCCTCAAGAACGGGAGGCTCTTAGGCTTTCTTTTCAGGCGTTGAAAGGACAGCTGGGAAAGTTCACCAGGAGTGACAAGGAGACCAGCGTCGCTTGTCACCGAAGATGTCTCAAAACGTTGTAACAGAAATGGTCTTTTAACTCCCGCGGACGGTCCCTGGGCAGTGGCTCTCAGACCTGAGCCCTGACCGGGGTCGGGACGGGGATTCAGGGGCAGCAGCAGGCAGGGTGGGCGGACCTCTCGTGCTGGAAGCGCTGCGGTGACAAACCAGGTCACCTGGAGTCCTTGCAGGGTTATGAATCTTGCTGAGCCAGACCTCAGGAAGCGGTTTTCCTCGGTGCTTTGGTGGTTATCAGATACTTGGCCTTAGCTTGCCATGTGAGTCATGCAGGCTGGGGGTAGCTGACTCTCGTGCGCCAGACAGGTCATGCCCGAGCAGAGCTTCTGTGCAGGGCCTGCATTGAAGAGTCTCTCGGTGAGGAGCCCGGCCTTTCTGTCGCCACCGGGATTCTGTCCTGGGAACTTAGGTAGCAGTTGGGGCCCTGCTGGGGGTGGCTCCTTGCCGAACCGGACTGGCTCTGTGGTCCTAAGAGGGTAGGCGTGGGGACTGTGGCTCCAGGGACGCAGGTTTCAGTGTGGCCGGGGATCTGCCGTCTTACCCCGGGGCCACCTGGCCAGTACGGCTGTGCTCAGTGCCTGTCCCCATCAGACGAGGTGGGCTGTGGAACCCGCGTCCCCGCCTCTGGAGGTGCCCGGGACACGTGACGAGCTGACTTGCAGGCAGGACCCTCGGGATCGTGTTCAGTTCAGATCCTGCCTCCGGGTGGTGGTCTGAGGCTCAGCGTTGCCAGCCAACACCTGCGTGAGGCCCCGAGCCTCTCCGGCCCAGGTTGGAGCAGGAGGGTGCTGGGTCCGGAAGCTGTGCTTGGGCTGCTGGGCTGGCCACCTTACATCCGCTTCTGACCTTGTGGTTGGGGACTCAGGTGGCCTTTGCCCCTGAGGTCTGATCTCCATCACACGCTGGTGATGTCATGCTTTGTCTTTACCCTCGCTCACTTGTTGTTTTGTTTTTCTTCCAGTTATTAGTGTTTCTTTCAGTTGAATGACAGTAATTCAGTTTAATGGTAGTTGCGTGTCTTCAGTTCCTCTGTTTTTCTGTCCATAAACACGTCAGGGTTCCTCCTAAGAGGCTGTGGGTTTTGTTTTGTTTTTGTTTTTCTTTTTGCCTGCGTTGGGTCTTCGTTGCTGCGCATGGGCATTCTCTAGTTGTGGCGAGCGGGAGCTACTCTTCGTTGCGGTGTGCGGGCTTCTCATTGCGGTGGCTTCTCTTGCTGTGGAGCACGGGCTCTAGGTGCGTGGGCTTCAGTAGTTGTGGCACACGGGCTCAGTAGTTGTGGTGCATGGGCTTAGTTGGCAGGCGGATTCTTAACCACTGCACCACCAGGGAGGTCCCCAGGCTGTGGGTCTGAGCAACTCTCTGCTGCTGTTGGTCCCGTGGCCTCTTGCGGGTGGTGAATGGCCACCATGAGGGGCTCTTCAGTGCCGTGGCTGGGCAGGCGCTGAGCCTCGGGACGTGTGACTCGGAATGGACTCTGGCCGGCCTCGGTGGCTTGGGAAGGTCCGCAGGCTGCAGCAGCACCGTCCATGGCCAGAGTGACGGGCGCTTTCTCAGGAGCAGGGGGCCCTCTGTGTCGTCCTGATGGGCCAGCTGCCTTCTGGGCCTCGGAGGACGGACACCGTGGTGCCACCCGGCACCTTGCTGCCTCCGCCCACCTGGGTCTCTGTGCGTGGGTTGTGCAGCAGGGGGCACCGTGTTGGGGCGGGGGTCAAGGTGCGCCTTTTTAAGGAGCACTTGAGGGAGGCCGGCACCATCGCACCCCCTTTGCCTCAGGTGCTGTGTGTCTGGGAAGCACGGGGGGCGAGTTCCGGGCTCTGGGACGGGTCTGGACTGCTCTCGGGCGGTCCACTGGAAGCCAGAGGGCAGCCTCTCCTCGGGCGCTGGAGCCCTGGGAGTTTTGAGAGAAACACGGACCACGTTCTTCTTTTATCAAACTCTTTTGGAAGAACGTTGTTCTGTAACTTTCTGTTGCCTGGATATTTTTCTACTTTAACGTACTGCCTACTTGGCCCAAACTCGATACAGCACAGGGTGGTTGGTTAAAGGGCCTCTGGGATTTCGTCCTTGTCCTTCCTGCGGACTCGTGGCCTGACCCAGCGAAACTGCTCCTTAAGGCTATTCTGGTGACAGACGTAATCCAGGAACATGTAATTTAGCCAGGATTCCGTTAATTTGGAATTGGTAGTAATTCCAGCTGGAGCTGCCGTGTTCTCTTCTGAAGTGTCAGCAGACAGATGCTACAAGCGCGATTCTGAGCCGAGGCTGGTCTACTTAAAGCTGAGTTAGTGCTGCCGATCTGAACACAGACCACAACATCACTGCTTTTCAAGGGGTTTAAAAAATGTCAGTTTATTAAAACGTTTGTATTTCACCCTGCTGTCTGGCCACACCATGTGAACTTTCATATGTGCTTGAGTTTAAGGTGGCTGCATTTTACTGTGTAAACCTCCGCCCCCAGCGCTTTTCCCCACAGCTCTCATTGGGGAGCATCCGTGTAGGGCCCAGAACATTAGGGTCGCAAATAACCAGCTCCTGACTGTGTGTCTCTCTGGACATGGGGGAGCGCGGCCAGTGGGGGCGAGGCCTTTGAGGGGCTGCCCTTTCCGTGTCACTGCTGGGGGCCGTGGTCCTCCCTCAGCGTGAGTCCTTGCCTGGGGTCACTTGCCGTATCTCTTGGATTATTCTTGACCACAAGCAAGTAACAGATGCAGTTTTTTGCGCTGCACTTTGATATCAGTATTGATTGTAAAACGTAGATTTAAATTGGTCTTCACGTTGCATAAGTAGAGGGAGCTATTGACGACATGGTAAATTCAATAACTTGAATTTCGTAAGTATTAACATCTTAATACTGTTATACTGTAACTCTTTAAAAGGCAGCCAGTGGAATCTATACCATGTCAATTTGATACCCACCATTAAGCTATTAAAAAATGCATGAAAATTCTTTTCTTCAAGAATCAAACATTTTATCTTTTTCCTCTTTCCACTCATATCAGCATTCTACTTCTCACAGAATTTCATTTTAATGTAATATGTTTTTATCTTTAGAAGTCTTTTTGAGTAATCCATTCTTTAGAACAAAAATACGTATATACATTGAAAATTAAAATCTTTTTTTCTGAGTCCTAATGTTCTAAGTGTATAAGAAGGTTCTTCTGATTGAGATAGAATTACAGTTAAAAGTAATACACGACACATGAAAACAAACGTATCTCATTCTGGGTTAAACATGGAAAGTAAACTTTTACTGGAAGTGTTCCTTTAATTGAGTGGATGGAACTTTTCTCCCAAGTTAGTTTTTTGTTTGTTTATTTACTTTTGGCCGCTTTGGGTCTTCGTTGCTGCGCGTGCAGGCTTTCTCTAGTTGTGGCGAGCAGGGGCTATTCTTCGTTGCGGTGCACGGGCTTTTCATTGCGGTGGCTTCTCTTTGTTGCAGAACACGGGCGCTAGGCACGTGGGTTTCAGTAGTGGTGGCACATGGGCTCAGTAGCTGTGGTGCAAGGGCTTAGTTGCCCTGCAGCCTCTGGGATCTTCCTGGGCCAGGGCTCGAACCCGTGTGCCCTGCATTGGCAGGCGGATTCTTAACCGCTGCACCACTGGGGAAGTCCCTCCCTCCCCCAAGTTACTTTAATTATCCATGGACCCTACCTTGCGCTGGTCTGACACAGAGTTTAGTATGCACTTTGTTCCTGTTTTTCGTTTTCCGTTTTTGTCACTACATCTGAGGAGCTTCACTTACGTAGTGGGTGGGAACCATCTGTGTCTGTGGGTCATCGGATCTTTGGACGCTGACTACAGGTGAGAAAGCCCTGCTGTGTAACAGCTGTTGCTCACGATGCTGCACGTTGGAAGTCCAGGAACGAAGGCTCTCCCTTCATCTCCGTGGGCAGTGTGGTTGGGGAGAGAGGGAGGCAGGGGTGGGCTCGGCCCCAGGCTGGTAGCTCAGGCTCGTGTGCATCTCCCCGCAGAGACCATGATGAGCACGCCGCCGCCCGCCAGTGAGCTGCAGCAGCCCCCGCCTCAGGCCCTGCACTACGCCCTGGCCAATGCCCAGCAGGTCCAGATCCACCAGATCGGGGAAGACGGACAGGTCCAAGTAGTATGTACTTCTCGCCAGCTGGCCTTTGCGAGTGGAAGGGGAGGGCATGGCTGGGAAGCAGGGGGAGGGGCGCCACGACCAGCTTTCCCTGCACTCTGCATCCCGCTGACAGCTTGGGATGGGGTCCAAGTAGGAATAGTCAAGGCAGGCCTCCTACATCTCGTAGGCCTCTCTGCCGGCCCCTCGCGGCTCCCCTGCCTGTGCGCTTCTGCCTGTCCTCCTGGGAGACATCAAGATGTATCATAGATATTTTCTCAGTTCAGAAGCGTGGGCACCCTTCACTGAGAGAAGAATAACTTCGTTCTGGGCCCAGCGGAGAGAGCTGGTGGCCTTAGTCATTGTGTAGTTTCTTCCGATTGTGTGACGAGTCGCCCCTGCGTGCTGCCGGCCCCGGTGGACGTTCCTCCCGACCCTTCATGGGAGAGCGGGGCAGGAACTTCCAGGGGATCCTGGGGATGCTTTAGTCGCCCAGCCTCATCGCCGCGGGCCTCGTTGCAGGGCTGCCTCCTGGAGACCTGGTTCTGACCCAGGCGGCCTTGGTTCGATGCTGCACTCAGCACGCTGTCTGGAGAGGGAGGGCTTCCTGAGAGCGCTGGGGGAGATTGTAAGGAGCTCTTCCAAGGGAGATGGGACAGCTGCAAACAGTGGAGTCTTTGTTTAGCCGACAGTCACAAAAGCAGTTACTCTAATCTCGCTAGTAAGGAAGTTCTTTGAAAGAATTCCAGAATAGATAACTGTGATATAGGGTTTACATAGATGTGGTAGAATGAAAGCAATAGAAAATTCAACAGTAGTTTATTTTCAGGTCCATTTTGATTAAGGTAGAATTTTAAATAAGATAATGGATATTCATTTCATTGAGCTAAGTTAAGATTTACAGGAATTATTTGTCTGCCTGTATCTACAAACATAAATGCATTTTAGTTGGAGTCTGATACTTTGGAACCACGTTTATTGTTTACTGCAGCTGTTTAAATAGTCATGTGTTTCTTTGATTTAAAAAGAGTTGGCTGACGTGTTTTCTGTGTAGACACGTGTACAACTGCCACCCACCCTCCTAGTCACGCTGCTGTGTAGCCTCCAGCACCCCCAGGTCACTAGGGACCTTGTCTGAAAGTCCATGAGGTTTCTGGTCCCTCTGAGTTGATAGTACAATTTAAAAACAAAAAACAAAAAACTTGTCAGTTTAGTTTTCTGGAAAATTGTGGTTTCTCCTTTTTCCTGTATGTCCTGCACATTCTTAAATTTGCCTGTTTAGTAACATTTAAAGATTTAACAGATTTTTCCTAGGCCTCATTGCCCCTTTAAGAATTACTGCAAAGTATTCTGTGTTCTGTCCTTAAAGTAGAACTTCAGGAGGGTGTTTAGTAAGCTCACACCATGCGTGTGTGACACCGGCCACTCAGGCCTCAGCTGTCTTTTCTTGAACTGCGAGTGGAGAATCAGGAACAAACGTTTCGGAGAGCGTTTCTTGTTTCTCTGATGCTTCTTGGTGTCTTCTCTTCTGCGGATCCCACAGGGCCACCTCCACATCGCCCAGGTGCCTCAAGGGGAGCAGGTGCAGATCACGCAGGACAGCGAGGTGAGTCTGGCTGCAAGCCCAGGGCCCGCTCTGTGCCCACGGGCTCTCTGCATTCTGACCTTTGTCCTTTGCGGTGGACAGCTGGGCATCCCCAGATGACACAGGTGTCCAGCAGAGACCGCCTGCTTCCCACTTGCTGGGGCACAGACCCGAGGCCCTGCCTCCCCTCCACACCTTCCTGCCCTTGCTGCATCGTGGCCCCATCTGGGTTTCTCTGTGAACCCTTGCTGTATGGAGGCTTTTGCTCCTGGCTGAAGTGCCCTCTGCAGCCCCAGGGGTGGGAGCAGCACGAGGGGGCCGCCCCTGAGACTGTGGCCTCTCGTGTCCTTGGCTCCTCTTGGCCCGTGGGGCCAGCGCGGGACTTGAGGGAGGTGGGAGTCTGGTGAGAGGGCCCGTGAAGGTCCTGTGAGCCTTCGGCGCAGCTTTTTCTGACTCGGCCTCAGCTGCCTACGGTCCCGCCATCCCGGCCTCTTCCCACTGGTGTCCTTTTACTGTTACTCCACGGTAAGGACAGAGGCAGGAGGCCTTCCTGGCTGCACGCGTACCTGCCCAGGGGGCTTGGTGTGTGAAGGCCAGCTTGACCCTCCGAAGGCGAGGTGGGCGGGTCAGCCCGCAGATTGGGGCGTGGCTTCCTGCACCTTGTCCCCGCCTGGGAGCAGTGCTCGCCCTGGATACCGCCCCCAACGTGTGCCATGTGGGCGGAGCTGAGGGCCGGGCTCGCTTCCAGCCTCCGGCAGATGCCGGCGCCAGGGGCTGTCGGCCCCCGGTCTCAGGAGAGTCCTGGGGAAGCCTGGGACTCGTTTAGCGGTGCCTGCTGGCTCCTCGTGTTCCGGCCGTGCCGGGCTATTTCCTTAAGTGGGTGACGTTAGTGCCCCCGACCTCTCAGTCCCAGCCCCCCGCCCCCAGCCCCACAGTCAGAGAGGGAAGAGGCGGGCGGGTTCTGAGGGCACGGCTCCGAGCTGGACAAATCCCTGTGAATCCTCAGATGATGGGACAGGTGTGTCCATGGGAAGGTGGGGCGCACGGCCGGGTGGGTGCCCGGCGGGTGGGGAGGCTAGCGGGGGCGGG